AAAAAAAAAAAAAAAAAAAAAAAAAAAAAAAAAAAGCATGATTCTCATTTTTTAGTTTGTTTAGTAATTTATACCAATGTAAAAGGGATGTGAAATGCCACCAAATCTGAAGTCTCTACTTGCAACAAATAAGTGTTTTATACATGTTTTGAGGTTGCAGTGTGGATGGCAGTGCATTGTTTTTCTTCACAGGTATTTGAACTTACCTCCAATAAAAAGCTTTGGGTGGTTGTGTGCATGTTTCTTCTGAAGGATAAAATGCTTGTGATTATATGAAAAATTTAGTTCAGTGCCAAAATGGAAAGTCCTTGAAGAGAGGGAAAGGTACAGCTGGTATTGTTCCTCTCTGAAGTTTTTCAGGTTAGCTTCAGTTAGCAGGCTGGGTATTACAGGCCTGAAATATAGACTTGTGGCTGAATACACAAGACCTGCACTTCTGTTGTACTGTTTGAGAAGTGATAAGGCTTATGCTTGCTTGAGACTAGGCTATAAAGCATTTTTGTGTGGCTCATTGAGTTCATTAGGTAACAGATGGAGTACCTGTTTTTAAACACGTTTGAATCTACTGGCTTAGACTTTTCAGCGCACACTTCCCTGTAAAGTCTCTGAAAGAAGTTGCTTCTAATTCATTGCTGGCACTTCTTTTCAATTGTTGTGGATGTGGATTTGATCTCATTAGCTTGCAGTATAATGAGGACTCTCTAAATTTCCCCCACAATCATTGTGTGGTTTTGAAGTTCGCTGCACATCTGGGGAAACCCTTCTTGTACAGGAAGCTGCTGCTAGCAGCCAATTTACACAACAGAGGAGGGTTTTAGTGTATGAATGACTCTTCCGCATGCAGGCCTGTTGTTTCCTTCCTAGGATACATGACTGTAAGTTGAATTGCTGCTGATTCATCATCTTGTTACTTGGTTGTAAAAGTTAAGTCGCATGGCAAACAACTTAAAATAAGGAATGTGTAAGGTACCCAAAGGACTGTGTCTGCTGTAATATGTTAAGAGGGTTTGTTTGGTTTTTTTTAATTCTTTAGCATATAATTTAATAGCGAGCTTTGTATTTCACCACAAAACAGT